TCTTCTCTTACATAAAAATCAAACTGTTCATATTTGAATTATTCCAATTCTGTTCCCACCTATCTTAGAGACCTGATTTCCTTCTCCTTCAGACTGCTCCAGCTATATTATTTTTCAGTTCCACCTACTCTTTTTATTTCACATGTAACAGCTTCTAAATTAAAACACATTAAATATCCTTTTTTCTCCTTCACATCAGTGCTCAAATCTCACCTGTTCATTTTTTAATCTGCTTTATTCGTGCTTTCCCCACACATTTTATGAGATACTTCACTTATTTAGTTCCATGTTCAGTGTCTCCACAACAACTCTATAGTTTTCCTCCTTGTTTCTGTTTTTGTTAACTGAAAAAGGAGTTTGACTTTTGAAGTATTGCCATATTTTAGATGAACTAGTAGAATTTCCTGAAGAAGAACTTGAACCACTCAGAAAAGCTTCTCTTACAGCTATATAATTGGTGTAAAATATGGTTGAGGGAACTATTGTTTAAAGCCAAATTTTGAAGTGTGATGCAAAAAAATGGCCAACTGAAAAAAACAAACATCCTAAACCAACCAAACCAAAAAACCCTTTCACTGTAAAACTGGGAAGATGAAAAATGAAATTCAAGCACATTAAATACCTCAGTTTTTGCTGGTGTGAGTCCTTGACCAGAATTTATTTCTGAAAGCCAAAAAACAAAGTTGATTCTGTTAATCCCCGATGGGAGAGAGGAACCTCTTTGCTGACTTTGCTCTGAATTGGTTTCCCGAAGTATTTTTACAGTCTTTGCCTAACCTGTTAGTGCTATCCTAGGTACTGGGGTTAGTCTCTGAGCATGACCTCTGTTTGATACCCTGGACTATCAAAATAAGAGATGAGAAGCAGGCCAAGATTTTGTGTTCCTCTATGTATGATTTTTTCCTGTGGGTTATTGGCTTATGCTAGTTACTGTGTGTAATTCTTCTGGTTTGAACACTGGATGCCTCAGTATTTTGTTTGAACATCTCTTATCAAGAAAAAATACAGACTGGGGGAGAAAGTGGAAAATGAGCAGAAGTGTGGAGAATTTGTCCTTTGAGAAAATAAGTAGAGTGTCCTAGAGAAGAAACAATAAAGATTAAGGTTTTGGGGGGTTTTTTTGGTTTTTTTTTTGAGATGCGCTAAAATTTTTCAGGAGGGAATAGAAAGTAAATGGCATAAATTGCAGGGTTAGAAAAAATTAGGCTTGAGCTGAGTCAAAAGAGCAGTAAAATCCTTGGAATAAATGGACAAAATTATGTATATCCATAGACTGCCAATCTTCTTTTCTGTGAGGATTCCATCGTGTGTAACAGTGGCTTGGGAAGATGAATGGCATCACCTCAAAGTTTCCTTCCTGCTCTGCATGCTGAGCATGATGTCCTATGGTCTGGAGCATCTCTTGGGTCAGCTGGGGTCATCTGCTCCAGCTGTGTCCCCTCTCAAATTCCTGTGCACCCCCACCCTTTTGGTGCTCCCAGCCAAACCCAGCACACCTCTCACTCAGATCCTGGAGAGACCTGATCTAACCAGAGCTTGGAGTGGATCAGACCAGCTGATCCCCAGAGATCTCTTCCAGCCCAGAGTATTATTCCATGCTGATTCCATACGGAGCAGTGCTTGCTGTGGGAGTGTGATCCTCCAGGCTTGCTTTAAAAAGGCTCTAAATTCAGGGAATTGATTCATGAGGCATGACCTTTTTGTGAGTTTTGTGAATCATGATGCAATTCAAAGCAAAACAGAAAACCTTTGATATTTCCTGTTCCCTGGGGTTAGACTTAAAGCTTCTCTATGTGCACACATTCACAACCCCAAGGTTTGCTCCCTTGAGATGTCTTCCATTGTCCAACTGCTCTGACAAAGTTTTATCGCCCAGTTGATGGCTCTGAGAGGTCGGGGTAAATACAGGAGGAAGGAGAAATACACAGAACATATAGAAAAAGGCATCTGTGCTATCCCAGCAGAGTAAGGGTGGATTAAATTATGCTTTGGCAAATTCTGCTGCCTTATAGATGCTATGGAACATGGAAAAAAAACCGTGTAGAAATACTCAGAGAAAAACATCTAAATATCCCTCCCATCACATCTTTTATTTCTTAGATTATACCTTAATGCTTTAAGAGGTTAGAATTTGTAAATAGTCTTTAGAATGGAAACAAAGTAGAGGTTTTTAAGACTGTTTATTCTCTTCTCTTTGCCCTGTTCTATTTTGAAGTTTGACATTAGCGTCTTTTGAAAGCGAGCATATGGCATTTCTAATTAAGGCCTGAGATTTTCTGACTTATAACTGAATAATACATTTCAAACGCTGCCAAGCCTTCCAGATGAAAGACTTTTCTAGCTGAAGCACTGGAGTGTATGTGCTGTGTAACACTGGTCTCCTGTAGAACTTGGAGGGATTTTGCTGGGAATACCAGCTCAATGAGAAATCCAGGGGTTTGTTTCTGTAGGCTGATGTCAGTATTCCTTGGCAAGCTCAGGTTTGGATCCAGTAAGAGCTACTGTGCTTTGTTGCTCACAGGATTCAGTGGAGCTGCATTTTGAAACGTTTTGGTCTGCTGGGGGATTTTAGTCATCTTTATCCGATTTCATTCCAGACTGCAGGGTTTGTTTGTGTGTATTTTCAATGTTAACTCTTGTAGAGATGTGCTGAGGTTCTTCAGTGTCTCCAAAGAGAGTCTAATCTTTTCCTTTCAGCATTTGGTGCCAAATTTTCTTCCTTTACTTTGAATGCAAGAAACCTTTCTGAAATTGTGGTTTGTAGTAAATTCCTGATGTGATCTGGGTTTCTTGACTTTCTTAATACATACCAGTATCATGTCTCTGAATGCCAAATGAACTCATCTCAGAGGTTTCCTCAATTTTTTTTCTTTCCATGGGAAGTAGAAGGGTACATTATTGTTGGTCCCTCTGACACAGTTGTGCAGTTCAGGAGAGGGCAGAATTAAACAAATATAATACATTTAATTCCCTATTTTTGTTAGTTATTGCCATGTCTATATGGTGAGTGAGAAAACTGGCCTTTACACTATTTTTGGTAATTTTAAGGGGGAAGCTGAATCTTCAAATACCTTTTTTCCCTCAGGACACAATTGATTCCTTTGGTTACTGGGAAACCTGTTGCTGTGTTAGAAAATTTTAATTAAAAGTTTAAACTTGGGGGTTTTAGATCTTACTTCCATCTTTAGGTCTAGTGGAAAAAGATTGGGAAAGCATGCAAAAGATTGGGAAACCTTAAAAATAAATTTTTTTTTAGATTTGTGATGCAGGTGGGTAGTTATTTTGATTGGATTATTTTTAGTTGTAATGGGGAAGTATTTGAATGGAGGTTGGGTTTGGTATTTGGGAACTGTAAAGCTGTACAAACGGGTTCCAAGCTGAAGCCTTTCACTAAAGTAGTGTTCATTTTGAAACACAGAGATTTCTGATATGCTTCTCTCAGGGCAACATTTTTACTGTTAACTGTCCTTGAAATACAGTAGATGCTTTGTCCTCACAGCTCACTGTCAAATTCAAGCGCTGATATTTTATTAATGACTTGTATTTGACAACTGCTAAGAATATAAATTAGAAATCTGTAATTGAAGTGAAAATGATAAAGATGAAGAGTTAACAGGGTAATTGCACAAATACTGAAGATCTTCTACCTGAGCTATGTTGTCGACATAAAGCTGGAGTTGAAGTGTTTAATGCACCTGAGGGAATTCAGGGTATTAGATCAGCAACAAGATGTGACAGAGCTGTGTGGAAGAGAATATTGAAGGGATTTGGGGGGCAGATGTAGCTTTGGTTCTTCTTTTTTTTTGTTGCATTTGAACTTGTGGAGAGAGTTCAGATCATAGGAAGGAGGAGTCTTGGAGCTCTCTAACATCAGACTGCCCATGGCTTCAGCTTCCTCTGAAGTTGACTGGTCCCCAGAGGAGCTGTGGTTGCCCCATCCCTGGAAATGTTCTAGGCCAGCCTGGACAGAGTTTGGAGCAACCTGGGCTGGTGGAAGGTGTCCCTGTCCATGGCAGGAGGTTGGAACTGGATGAGCTTTAAGGACCCTTGCAAAGCAAACTCTTCTGGGATTCTGTGATGATGACAAGAGGGCTGTTCCTGTGTCTCTTTTTGTGTTTCCTGCTAAAGACACTGAAAGCTGGAGCCTCTCAGCATCTGGTGTTGGAGTTGCACTTGTTTAATTCTTAGTATTTTATTCAGATAAAACTGGATAAAAGCCAAATACCTGCAAGACCATATTTGCATGAAGATTTGCCATATGGAGTTAGACTGTCCAGCTTACTGTGGGACACTTGGTTTGGATGGTTTTTTGAGCATGTTATTCCAGGCCCACATGATCCCTTCTGGGTTTGGGTGTTAGTCATATAATGGCATATATCCTTCTCTAAGTGTTTGATTGTTATTTATGAGCTTTCATTTGAAGCAACCCTCTCTGTTCCATGCACTATAGTCTTTCCTGTCACAGTCTTGGTTTTTTTCTGCTCATCCATGAGCTTACTTCAGTAAAAAAGGATGATTTTGTGGCTCAGAGGAGGCTTCCTGAGCTCAGGGTACCTCAGGACAGCTAAAGGGATGTGATGTAACAAAGTAGCATTATCTACTATGCTTTAACAGAGACTTCTCTTTTTTTGAAGTCTGGAGTGGAAGTGACTTGTAGGTAACACTGTCAAATTTCATTTAATGGAGAGTTGACAGCCTTGAAGCTTTTCTCACATAATGCTTTTCTAGGTCCCAGTCCTTTCTCTGGTAACACTGCTGTGAATTATTCCCTAGTCCTGTTCTTGTAAACTTTATGGTAACTTCATTAATACATTTGTTTGGTGAAGTCTGCTAAACATTCTTTATGATTCCATTCAAATTTTGTATCTTTTTATGCTTTTAAAACTGATATATGAGAAAAAATTGTCTGAGACTTGTATGGATGCATGTCTAGTGTCTGTGCTCTTGGGTAAACCTGTGCATGCTTTTGTTTTCTTTTTTTTTTTCTTTATTTTTTACAGAGAGTGATAATGAACTCTCCAGTGGCACTGGTGATGTGTCAAAGGATTGTCCTGAGAAGATTTTGTATTCCTGGGGAGAGTTACTGGGGAGATGGTAATGCTTAATTTCTTATATTAGATTTTAGATATTAACATTTTATTTGGTTTGTGTGCATTTTATTTTGTTTTATATGCTCGTGAGCAGGAGGTTTGACATTCTTCTGCTTACACAGTTTAAAAACTAAAATGCAAGACACATTGAAGTGTAGTTTTTGATCTTAATTTAAAAGGGACTGGTATAGATAACTTGGAGGTTTTTTGACAAATCTTTCCTGTACTATGTGCAAAAGTTTGGTTTTGTTTGGTGTTTGAGAGTGTGTTTGTGTGTGCTCACAGGCAGAACTTTGTGGTTATTTGGGGCTGGCTATTAAATCCTGAGGAAACTCAGTGCCAGGATGGGACAGACACAGCAACTCCCATGTGTCCCATCTAAGCCCTGCATGCCAGCTGGTGTACATTTAATTTGTTTAGAAACACTTTTTTTTTTTTTTTTAATTTCTGTAAATGTGCTATATGTAAGCACTTGAAAAAGAATCTAGAAACTGTGAATCCTCACTGAAACACTTTCTGTTGGTGTATAAAATGAAGAGTATTTGTAAACCCAGACTATGTTCTCAACAGTGTTATTTCTGTTGTTTAATTAAGTGCTTCAGTAGCAGTGCATAGAGTGCCAAGAGAGGGAAAAGTGTGTTTGCTGCCTCAGAGAGACCTGAGCAAGTGCCAGAACCACTTACTTGCTTTTCCCTGTGTAAGCAATAGCTCCTGCTGCTGGAGACAAAAATAATCAGAGGCCCTTAATCTGGAATTGGCTGTTTCCTTTTCCTAACTCCAAAAAGAGAGATGAACAGCATTTTAGGGATTTATTTGGGTAGTTCCTCCCTTGACTTGGCTACTCTGTATCTTTGGAGAAACAGCCTCTTACTGCTGACCTCATCTCTATGAGATCTCACACAAAGGTTTCTGCATGAGGCATCAGGAGGTTTTACTGAGCTTAACTAAACCCTCTCCTGTTGTTTTCACCTATTCTGTCACCCAAGTTTCTGCCCTTAATCCAAGATTGGAAGATGCCAATTTTCAATTTAAGTTTTTTTTAAATTATTTTGCCAGTTGATTGTTCTGTTTTTAACCTGTGTCCTTGATAAATACCTGGACTCTGTGGATGAGCATGTGGAAGTACAAAGACACCCACAGCTCATGGTCTTAAGTTTCATGTATCCAGCTGTTTCTTCTGGTTACTTAAGTATACTAATCAATAAGACAAAACATTCAAGACTTTTGGCATAAACTATTTTGGAATCCTAACATAACTTACACATAAATCAAGAGAAATTTTTAGTAGTTAAAGCAGCTTAAAATTAGTTTAAAGTGGGTTGAGAAATGAGTGGTCCCAACCTGTTTGAAGACTAGCAAACATTTCTTCAGGAGTGTCTCAAGCAGTATTACCTGTGGAGAGAAATTCAAATTTGTAAACTGCTTGAGTTCTTGAATAGCATTATGTTACAGTCTAAGAACAAAACTTAGAGTAACAGGTGAGAATTGGTAAGGATTTGAAAACTAAAAATAAATCAAAAGAAAATCTTGTAGTGTTGTTGAAAACAGCACCATATGTTAGTAGAAGATCTGTGCACTTGTAAAAAATGTAAATAAACAAAAATTAACATTTCCACTTGAAGAAGTGGTGTGCTGATTTGTCTCTTAAATGAAAAATTTCTTGCTTTTAATTGCTTTTTTCATTTCATTAAAATGTCACTGTAACCTGTTGGACTCAGCAGAAGCACTGCTCCAGGACTCTCCTTCAAGGATATAAACAGAAATGAGAATAAAATCATTTACCAAATAGATAGAACAAACAATTGAAAAGTAATGCTGTATCTGTTTATTTTACTATATGCATCCTCAGCATTAAAGTTGTTCTTGCCAGCTAAGCTACTTCAGCTGATTGCTCAACTATTTCTTTAAAAAAAAGTAGCAATGATCAATAACAGTCTTTGATCAGAAACATATTTATCAAGTTGAAGCGTATTCTGTTGATTGCTGCTCTGTGTCCTTTCTCTCTGTTATTTTAAAATTGTATTTATGAGTTTGTGCAGGAGAGTTGCAACATTTTGTAGCAAATTAAAGATGTCAGCATCCATGAATGGTGTTTCCCCCACATGATGAAGAGTAAGGTTAGAGTAATACAGGCTTTTATTTTATGCTCACTTCAGTTGTTCTGAGCAAGGATTATGGAAGCACAAGCTGTTTCCCAAAGAGCCATCCAGTACTTGGAAAATTGGCTGTAGCATTTGGTAATGCTATCCATCATGGACTCATATTGCTAAAGTATTACCTCAGGCATAAAATACAAATCTAGGACAGGGCCAGTAAAGTCTGATTGTTTAATTCTCAGTTGGGATTATGTTCAGGATGATGTTATAGCATGTGTTAGTTGTTGCCTTGTATTGTTTCCTTGGTTTGGCTGAAAATTTCCTTGTTATGTTTCTATGGAAATGTCCCTTTTATTTGATCAGCTTGCTCAGTCCTCAGGGGATGACACATATGACCAGAACCGTGTAATAACCAATCTAATCCACAACTAGAGCTTCAACTTTCTGACATATTTACTATATATCTATTCCTCCACATGCATGTCGTAATTCTGTAACTGTTTAGAGTGTCTGGTCATAGCATCATGGAATAGTTTGGGTTGGAAAGGACCTCAAAGCTCATCTCATTCCACTCTCCTGCCATGGGCAGGGACACATTCCACTAGCCCAGGCTGCTCCAAGCCCCATCCAGCCTTGCCTTGAACACTTCCAGGGATCCAGGGGCAGACTCAGCTTCTCTGGGCACCCTGTGCCAGGGTCTCCCCACTCTCACAAAGAAGAATTACTCCCCAATACCCATGTAACCCAGCCTCTCTGTCAGTTTAACACCGTTCCCCCTTCTCCTGTCACTGTCTGTCCCTACAAAGGTTCTTTCCCTCCTTTTCATAAGCTCCTTTAAGGTACTGAAAGGCTGTGATAAGGTCTCCCTGCAGCCCTTTGCTTCTCCAGGCTGAACACCCCAAGCTATCCCAACCTGTGTCCATAGCAGAGAGGTTCCAGCCATTGGAACATCTCTGTGGCCTCCTCTGAACCAGTGCTAGTCCTTTAAGTGTTTAGTGCTTTTAATATTTCTGTGAATATTGGTTTTCTTTCTAGCTCTTTCCCATCACAAGACTGTTGAGCTAATGTGACTGACTACAAAATGGACTGAAAAAGATAAAAGGAACTAGTTTTTATTTGGGTATCTGAGGGATGAAGATAAGGATAAAATTACTTGTACTGCACTGCACATTTAAAAATAAAAATAATTATTGTTTTCTTAAAGAATAAGGGTGTTATGTAATCACATACTTGTTTTTTTTAGTTCTCAGGCCATTTGGAAATATAGGGATATCATCCCCAAAGCATAGGAAAATGAAATAGCTTAGAGTATCTTTTTTATTTAAACAGCAGTGATAACCTGTTCATGTCCTAATGACCTTTTTCGTAGATTGAGTACTCTAAACATTCACTGCAAATCCAGGCTCAAGTTGCAGGTGATTTAATTAATCATGGATTGCTGGCATTTGGCTAAACAGCCACTCTCACTACTGTGCTTCCAAGAGAGCTCGGAAGACACCACAGTGGTCAAAGCACTTGGAGAGCACAGCACTTCCTACCGCAGAGAGAGCCAAAAATCAGTTTGGGCAGCCTTCTGCTGCATTGTTCTGAAAATTGTCATGAGTCTAAGAGGGTTTATATCTAGATCAGCCAATACTGGTATGTCCAAAAGAGCTTTGCAACATCTTTGACGGAAAGTTCTGTAATATTGTGCATGTGCAGTGACTTTTGTATTCCTGCATTTCTTGTTTTGTGTGTGTGTCTGAGCACCAGCTCAGACCAACAGGCAGATTTATTTGAGGTACTGTTGAGGTAGTAGGATTGTACAAATGTGTGTGCAAGTGTTCATGTTTGTGGCACTTGAAGCAGTCTTTGGCATGAAGCGTGGAAATAGAACCTCAGTCTTCATAATGCTACTGTTTAATTGTCTTTTGTTTTCCAAAATTTGTTTTTCTGTACAGCTTAAGTTATTTTTAATTTATTTTTCTGAACCAGAGCTAAATATATATGTTGAACAAATATTTAAATTTGTCTGCACAGATGGCATATTTTTCTTTTTCAATTCAAGTTGTTCTTTATTAGCCAGCTTATTTCAATTTCTGCAGCTGCTTATTCCTAATTTTCCCTGATGTCTCCACACCTAGAGAATTTAGATATCACTACATTTTGCCACTGGTTCTTACTGTAAATCCTTGCAGAGTTTTTGCTTTCCACCTGACAAACACTAACTACTGTAACCAGTGGAAGAAAATTTTGTGTTGCCAATTGCTGACTCTGCTTTAGTGAATAACTTTAAAGATTTTTAATGTTTTTAATCTTTATTTTGACTCCTGTAGTTGAAGTATAACAGGGAAATTATTATCTTTGTTTCAGGCACAATAACCTTGTTGTGAGACCAAATGGGCTATCCACTCTGGTGAAGAGTGGTGTTCCAGAAGCACTGAGGGCAGAGATCTGGCAGCTGCTGGCAGGATGCCATGACAACCAGGCAATGCTGGACAAATACAGATTGCTCATCACAATGGTATGGGATTTATTATTTGTTCTTTCCTTCTTTTATCCACTCTCCTTTGGTGGAGATACGTTCTGCTGGGCAGCAATCTTAGTCAGTGGCAGGGTGGCAGAAGAATGAAACAGTTTGACTTGTTTTAAGCAGCTGAAATTATGATTATGTGACTTTACCTCCTGCCATGGGTACCTGCTGCATGGCATTAGCAGTAGAAATTGCTGACCTATATCTGTAGTAATGCTTGACATTTAGCTTTCTGTTCTCTTCCTGTGTTGGTGACAAGAACATCACCTTGTTCAGATGTTTCCTTGTGGGTTTTTTAATAAACTCACGTCCATCACTTTGTTTTTTCAAAAGTTTGTTTTATGTTTGTCTTCATTTTAGGGGTTTCAGTTCTTAAATTCAAACAAAATGGCACAAAATTGAGTATTTCTTCTTTCTGTTGTTTATTTTAAAAAAGAATGTTAAAAGCATTTGAACCTAGAAGAAAACCAGTCTCCTTGCTGTATGGGTGAGCAGAGAGGAGAATCCTTTTGGGAATCAATTCCATCGGTGCAGTCAGTGAGCATTCTCAGGAGTCTGTGGAGCTGTTAGCTCTGTGATGGCACAAGGGAGGAGCTCTGTGCAGTGTCACAGATAATCTCAGAGTTGGGGTTCTGAGGCTGTGCACCTGCAGGGCTGTTCCAGCTCTGGGAAGTGCAGCAGTCTCCAGTAAACTTTTAATGACCGAAGTGGATGAGGATCATTTTGTGTGCTGCTCACAGCAAGTGCTGGATTTGGTACCTGGCTTATGAATTATCTGTCCACACAGAAATTCTGGGGTAGATGTTGTTTCTCAAACTTTTATTTCCTAATGGTTTCATATTGTTTTGCTACTTATCCTCCTTATTTGACATAATTAATTATGCTTGTGAAGTTTAGAAGCATCCCCAGTGTGAGAGCTGTCCTGGTGGCTGCTTTTTTCTTTACCAAGAAGGAAGAATGTTTTCCTAGTGTAAATTTTTCATTTTGATGTTGTAACTGTGTTATATTTTCATTAGAAACCATTCACAGGACATCTGTCAGCTGTATGGTGCATCAAAGCCACCTCCATTATTTGTTCCTGCTTTCCAAAAGTGGGAGAGACGTTTGTTTCAGGGTGGAGGAGGGAATGGAAAACTTCTAAAATGCAAGGTTTATCTTGATGTTGGGGCCTTGTGCCTTAAAAATACCTTGTAACACTTGGCCTTTTCACTGCAGAGATATTGCAGTGATGAGTATTTTGGAAGATGATATTTCATACAGTATTTAATATAAAATATTGCAGTGTTACTGATGAAAAATTTAAATCCTCTACTGAACGGAAGCATTTATGCAAACAGAGTTTTTTTTCTAAAGTGAATAATTTTCCTTCTGAAGTGACAAAACTTCTTCTGTAGTCTGTCTGTCTAAAGTGCTAGCAATCACATCATTTGGCAGTAAAAGATTCATGAAAGAAATGAACAGGAGAGAGTCTGTGTCATACCAAAGCTAGGGCCCATCTTTGGAAAGAGTTAGTATGGGATGCTCCAGAAAAAAATGTCAGATGATTTTATTTTTTTTTTAATGAACTATTGTCTGATATTTACGTCTGTGAACAGAACTTTTCAGTTTCATTTTGGTATGTCAGTAATGTGAATTAAGGAGAGAGAGGAGTAATATATATCTTTTAGTAGTAGATGCTACTAAAATCTTGGTTGTATGTCTGTCAATAATAACCTAATAATAATTTAATAATGTTAAACTTCAGAATTGTTTGGATATTAATGACTGTTCACTTGCTTCTCCTGTATGAGAAAGCAGAACTGATTTCTTTTATCTGCATTTTTGTTATGCTAATATACCAACAACACAAACTTTATTTTTTCCACAATTATTTAATCTTCCTATCAAATCCATCGTTTTCATCTTGATTCTTTCAGTTTATGTATATGTTTGTACAAATTCATTGTCTCCTTGTATTTTGGTCATTTTGCTTGATGTTTCTCTTCTGGAAGCTGGATGTGTTTGTGGGTGCCTTGATTATTTCAGCAGTGTATTCCTTGAACATTTCTGTTCCTGAGCCACTCCTAGGGAAGTGGGGAGAGTTGGTGATGCTCTGCACTTGCAGTCCTGGCAGTGAAGTGGGCTCAATATCAGAAGTAGGAGGTGGTGCAAACATCTGTGAACTTGCACCATTGCCTACTGACACCCCACAATCCCCAGAACCTCTCTCTCCTCAAACAGCTCCCCATTGCTGCCCAGTCCCTGAGGTTCTGTCCCAGTATCAGATCCTCCCTCTGAGCCTGCTCTCTGAGCACTCTAGTCCTTCCCTGCTCATCCAGCCTGACCTGCGCCCCTGTGTTAAATTGATAATTGTGAGGAACAGGGCACTGGAGACCAGTAGAAAAATCTCTGCCATGAATCTGTCACAGCTTGAAAGATGAACTCAATACATAGAATTATTAGTACTGAAAATGTGATTTATGGTTGCCTCTTCTGGGGACAGAGCAAAATCTGGTGAAAACTCTGATTTTTGTACAGTGTTACTGATTAACTTCTGGTGAAACTAGTGAGAGTTGTGTTGTTGGCACGCCAAAAATGTGTGCCTTGTGATACTCTCAGTGACAGCAGACTCTCAGCATTTAAATTTAGTTTAGAGACCATGGTGTAGACACATTAGGTGATCTGTTCCAGTCTTGTGCAGCAGTACTGTGTTAGATTGGCCAGCTATCAGTCCCATCACCTAAGAAATCTGGCTGTGCATTTATCCTGTGTTTATCCATCTGTATGCAAAGCTCTGGAACCTGCTGCAGAGTTTCTCAGCTACAGGAGTGCTTAGTGCAGTGTGTTCTGTAGGGGAGGGTAATTTGGGGCTTGTTTTAGAGTCTCAATTCAGCACTGAAAGCAAAATAAAATGTCTCATTTACAAAAGTCAATGCTGCACTTATTTCTCCAAAAGGCCTCCATGTCCTCTAATCCAGAAGTCTGTCAGGAATGATCTGGTGAGCTGTGTTCCCTCTTCCCTAGATCAGAGCATTCATTTTCCATCTCTAGGTGAGTTTGGAGTTCCAGGAGGGAAGGGAGAAAGAAATCCTTGTGCTCTCACAAGTACTGACAAGCACTCTCTTAGGTCTCCTGCTGAGTTCCAGCTTGATGATTACCATGAGCTGCTCAGGAATTTTGACTGGAGCACAATAATAGGCCTTGCATACAATTTTAGAGAGTGGGAGTTGTGATTTGGCAGCTGTTACATTTCTGACATATATGTAAATGTGTTCTGTATGACAATCAAAATCTGCCTTACTTCCCTTGCCACGGGCTCTTCACAGTGCTGCACGTGGCACCTGACAGGAAGGGAGAAGTCACATACACATCAGTAGGGATAAATGTCTATTTTTATTTATGTAATTATTGCAAGGAAAATAAAATCAGAGTGAGAAAAATCTGCTTGTTATAATGAAGAGGTAATACTGTACTTAAAGAGCTTTTGTAAAATCATGTCTGATCTGTTTATTAAAGAATATAGAAAAATGTGCACGAGCTGAGGTCAATTCATTGACAGAGTGTTTTCTCCTGCCTTCTTGGCATTATTTCATTTTCACTGCTTCCTCTCCAGAGACTGGAATGAATTTTTCCATGATGAGGTGTATTCAGAGCTCTGATAAACTGGTGACTGCCAAGCCCCAGTGTAGCCTGTTTAGGACTGGAGTGAGTGGTGATTGTCTGCTGTAGGAATCAAGGATGGTGCTCCCCTTGCCCCAGTGTATTCTTGTCAGAGCAGGTGTCAGGCACTGTCACGGTGTGCATGAGGAGAAATTTGCTGTCACATGATGGCAGTGATACAGCAACTTAGCCTAAAATGCTTGTTGCCTCTCCATGGGGACAGATGTTTTATTTATTGTCTCTTACTTTGCTTATTATCAGAGTTTTGCTTCTTTGTTTGAGGTGGTTTCATTCTTGGAGGAATTCTCAGTGCTGAATTTCTAGGGTGAGACTTATTTCCTGTCAGAGCTGAGTGTAGTAGTGTAAGTAAAATGAGAACAGGAACAGGAGGCTGTCACTCATGTTCTGTAGTTTGAAAACTTTTGGGTGGACTGTTTTAAGGTAGCATTTCTGGTTCTAAACTGTATGATTTATTCATAAAAGACTTCCAGTTTGCAATAGAAATTCCCTTAAGAAATGAACTGTATGTTCATCCAACAGCGTATATAGATTTATTTTAAATGCAGCTACTGCTGTGGTTTAAGGAAGCAGAATTTGTTTTAAATTTATTATTATTATTTTTAAGTAAGATCAGAAAAATGAGCCTCAGATACAGCAGAGGTTGGTGGTGTTGTATTAGTCAACACAATGAAAGTTTCTTTAGGAAAGAGAATGCCTCGTTTTGAACAGGGTGGTGACATTGAGTGGAAGTTCTTAAAGAAAGATTGAATGGCTGTCCTTCTAAATGACTTGTAAGAGAACCAAAAATAGGATTATTTGTTTATTGTCATAATTTCCTTTGGCAATATGAGCGCGTGCCCAGGACAGTTAGAGATAATAACTAATTAAAGGGTCAGGCTTCAGAAGACTTGGCCAAAACCCAGCTTTTTCTGCTGACTGTATTTTTTGGTGGCTTGTCTCTGGAGCAATAACATTTCAAGGCACTCCACATATAAGTAAAAATCCTAAGAATTCTTCCAGTCTCTGAGAGGCATGAAAATAACAGATCTCAGTAATTTAATAATTTGAAATTGCACTAATCAAGGGTGTCACTACTCCATCAGTATAATTCTCATGCAATGGTGAGCAATTATAGGAAAGTATTTTCCATTGCTGCAGAAGGTGGAGCAAATGGATTGGATTTGGGGCTGGATAAAATTAATCAATTTAGAGGTAATATATGTAGTTTATCTGTTCAGTTTGCACCAGCATTATTTTTGCTTATTCCTACAAGACAAATCTTTTTTTTAAAGCAAAAGAAAAAAAACGCAGAAGTTAAGATTGCATGTTTCTGGAATTGTGTCTTGTCCAAA